GTGTGTGTGTGTGTGTGTAACTCTAGCATGATGTTACTGGTGCATGTGTGTGTTTGTGTGTGTGTATGTGTGTGTGTGTGTGTAAAACTAGCATGACGTTAACTGTGTGTGTGTGATGCGAGAGAGTGTGTGTGTGTGTGTGTGTGTGTGTGTGTGTGTGTGTGTGTGTGTGTAACTCTAGCATGATGTGACTGGTGCATGTGTGTGTTTGTGTGTGTGTGTGTGTGTAAAACTACCATGACATAAACTGTGTGTGTGTAATGCGAGAGTGTGTGTGTGTGTGTGTGTGTGCATGTGTGTGTTTGTGTGTGTGTGTAAAACTACCATGACGTTAACTGTGTGTGTGATGTGTGTAAGACTAGCATGATCATACCAGTGTGTGTGTGTGTTTATACGTGTGTAACATTATCATGATGATACCAGTGTGTGATGTGAGAGTGTGTGTGTGTGTGTGTGTGTGTGACACTAGCATGTATGTGATGTAAGAGAGTGTGTATACATAATATTACAGGTGAAGCATGAAGATCCTGTGTGTGCAGTATAAGTGTGTGTGTGTGTGTGTGTGTGTGTGTGTTTATGTGCGTCTAACACTACTATGATGGTACAAGTGTGTGATGTGTATGTGTGTGTGACACTAGCATGAGTGTGAAGTAAGTGTGTGTGTGTGTGTATACATAATGTTACCGGTGTGAGTGATGTGAATGTGTGTGAGTGTTTGTGACACTAGCATGATGATACACGTGTGTGTAATATAAGTGTGTGTGTGTTTATGTGTGTGTAACACTATCATGATGTAACAAGTGTGTGATGTGAGAGTGTGTGTGTGTGTGTATAATATTACCAATATTTTGTGTGTTTGATGTGAGTGTGTGTGTGTTTGTAAAACACTAGCAAAATGTTACCAAAGTGTGTGTTAACATGATGTTTCTAGTGTGAGTGTGTATACACATGATGCTACCGGTGTGTGTATGTGTGTGTTTCCATATATATATATATATATATATGACGTTTCCAGTGTGTGTCTGTGTGTGTGTGTGTGTGTGTGTGTGTGTGTGTGTGTGTGACACTAGCATGATGATACTCATGAATGTAATATAAGTGTGTGTGTGTGTGTGTGTGTGTGTGTGTGTGTTTATGTGTGTGTAACACTATCATGAAGTTACAAGTGTGTGATGTAAGAGTGTGTATGTATTCAAAATGTTACCTGTGTGTGATGTGATTTCGTGTGCGTGTGTGTGTGACACAAGCATGATGATACTCATGAATGTAATATAAGTGTGTGTGTGTGTGTGTGTTTATGTGTGTGTAACTATCATGAAGTTACAAGTGTGTGATGTGAGAGTGTGTATGTATACAAAATGATACCTGTGTGTGATGTGAGTGTGTGTGTATGTGTGTGTTGGTGTGTGTATAAAACACTAGCAAGATGTTATCGCAGTGTGTGTTTAAATTATGTTTCTAGTGTGTGCGTACACATGATGTTACCGGTGTGTGAGTGTTTCCATGTGTGTATTTATATATGACGTTCCCAGTGCGTGTGTGTGTGTGTGTGTGTGTTACCCATGGGTGTCCCGACGCCGTAGGCCTTGGAGTCGATGAGTCCTCCGACCTGTGTGAGGTTGCAGTTCCTCTGCGTGACGAACTCGATGGCGGTGGACTCCATGAGGAAGGCGTAGTCAGACGTGAGCACGCGCTCGATGCCCTCCTCCACACTCTGCACCATCACCGACTGACGCCTGCTGTTCATGAACTCCCACATCTTATCATACGTCGAGATCTTCGTCTTCTGCAGACACACACACACACACAGCGTTAACATCATGTACTGTATACACACACACACACACACACACACACGGGTTAAGAACTATTCCCTCTTCAAATTAAGTATGAGTTCAAAACAACATCAGCACTATTTAACTGACTGTGAACAATGCTGTACTTTGATAAGCATTGGCTGTAATATGATTTCCTGATTTAGATTTAGCAAAGAATAATTTTTTCATATTAAAGAGATATTTTACTACAACTTTAACACATCATTAAGGAGAAAGTCCACATGTGAGAATATAAAACCAACTTTACTTCAGCATCAGGATGGAGCTGTTTTCATATTCGCACATTCGTTCATTTTGGAACAGTGAAAACTTGTGACATGATCTCAGTATTGTTTACCAAGTTACTTTTAGATATTCAGGCTGAAATACAATGCAAGTATGAGTTCAAAACAACTTTAGCACTATTTAATCAACAGTGAACAATGCTGTACTTTTACAGGCATTGACTGATAAGAATACTTTTCTGGAATTATATCAAAGAGAAACTCCTAATGTGGGAATGTAAAACTAACTTTACCTTAATATCAAGCTTCAGGCGTGTGTAAAATTATATAATCACGCATTAACACTAAACTCTGCATGAAGATGCCTGTTCATGAGCAGAAATGAACACCTTCTGGTTACTTCAAGAACATCAACAGCTCATATTCAGGAGAACTGCTGCTTTCAGTTCTTCCAGCACGCAAAACTAACACAAAACAAACTCAGGTACCTTTAACTCAGCTGGGGATGCTGCGTGATTTAGAATTAGCAAAGAATACTTCTGACACATCAAGGAGATATTTTACTAGTACTTTAACTCTTATTAATAGGGAGAAAGTCCAAAGGAGCAAATATAAAACAAACTTTACTTCAACATCAGGATTGAGCTGTTTTAATATTCGCACATTTGTTTATTTTTGAACAGTGACAACTTGTGACATGATCTGTATAAGGTTTACCACACTACTTTGAAAATTGGGTCAAAAATAACATGCAAGTATGACTTGCATATTGACTGGGAACAATGTACATTGTCTACTAATATGATTTCCCTATTTAGCATTTTCTGAAATTATGTTGAGAAAGTCTAAATGTGGTAACGTATAACCAACTGTACCTCAATATCAGGCTTTAGGTGTGAGTGAGATCAGATAATGACGCACGAACACTAAACTCCTCATGAAGATGCATTTTCATGAGCAGAACTGAATACCTTGAGGGTATATCAGAAACATCAACGGCTCACATCCAGGATTTCAGTTCTTTCAGAGTGCAAAATTCATAGAAATGAACTCATGCACCTCTTGATCTCAGCTGCGGATGCCGTGCGCAGTGTGTGATATAATAACGCCTATCAACAAACAAACAGACCAACCCACGACATGAAAACAAACAGCAACAGCTGCATAATAAAACCCACAAAAACAAACAATATTTACATTACCTGCCTCTGACATCTCAATAGAAAGTCACTTGCTGATAAGCAGCTCATTTAAAGCCCAATTCTAACCATTTTACCGTAGCGATTTGATGTTTTAACCGAGTGTTTGGATTAGCTTTAGCCGTTAGCTCCCGTAAGTCCGCTCGTAAATTAAGCATGAGCACGCTTGTCGCGTGAACAGCAGAAATGACTTAAACAGAATACTTTTCTGCAACTCATGTAAAAACAGATGTGTTTAATATCAAATATCGAGCTTACCTCATGTGTTTGTTCTAATATTCATAAGTTTAAACTGTAAATGACGGCGGTTGATACTTTTCGATATGAGGACCCCTGAATGTGGAGCCCCAAACGTGCCTGATCAAAATATTACTCGCCCACCAGATGAAACAATAATAAACTCAGATAAACACATACTAATAAATAAACTAATATGCAAACCCTCATGACTGTCAAGTTCATTTTATACTGTTACGGTAAGTAAAGAGCAAGCTTTCAGATATTCTGTAGTTATATTGATAAGTATTATTGATTTTTCCCAAATATATAAAATGCTGTTAAATACGTTACATTATAAAGACCATTAGTCAAAATGACCAAATCATGTAACTTTATAGACGTTTATATTCATCTTTAAACAGCAAGCTACTGATGTTTTAACTCCAAAACAGTTAAGAACTCAATATTTCATTTTATTTGGTGCGATAACCCTGATTGCAATTCTCTGGGAAAAGAAACTATATTTAACTGACAATGTTATTTATTTGAAATTAATAATACACGTTTTCAGACCTTTAAAAAAGAAAAACATACATTTACAAACATACAATTAACAAATTTTACTCAAAAATAGATATAGCACATCCAGAAAAACGCAGAATTATTCAGTGGTCAGTCATGTCCCCTATATTTTGTCATAGTTGTGTATGTAATAATCGTATTTTATAGATCAATACTTTAGCTGTTATCATATTTGTGGCCTGCAGATGGCGCTATTGAAACATTACACAACACTGCAGTGTTTTTGTACCATAGGCCACTACAGTAGAGTGTATTATACTGTATATATTATAGTATCTACAACTCTTAATGAATGCTCCAGCATACTGCAGCATTAACTATAGTGAACTGATAATAAATGCTGTAGTATACCTTCAATTTTACTACTGTGAACAGTGGTGTGTTGGAGTATATATTCTAGTTGTGGAAAACTACAGTATTGGGTTGTTTGTTTATATTACTAGTTGTTGCGTTACCATAGCAACTATAAAATCACCACAATATATTAATAACTATAGTTATTGTGTAACCCACCGGTTACAGAGGTCAGAGCAGTGAAGTTTACCTGCATAGCATTTCGCTAGCTGGCCTGTCACACTCACACCTCTAAACCTCACTCCCATCCCAGACGAGCCCCCACATGTAACCCACCGATCCTACTGCACCCACCTGGTCTGAGCTGAGATCGAACTGTTGATTCCTTGTATTAGAGTCGGTTGCTCTAACAAGGAGGCTAAAGATGCTGGCCTCTAGCGTCTGTCGCTAGAGCACCTTTTGAGGACAGAGGAGTGAGGTTTACCTGCATAGCACTTCGTCGTAGCATGTCAAATGTGTTACCATAGCAACTGTAGAACCAACACAAGATATTGACATTAGTTGTGTTACCATAGCAACTGTAGAATCACCACAACATATTAATTACCATAGTTGTTCTGTTACCATAGCGACTATAGAATCAGCAAAACATAATATTGACTATAGTTGTTGTGTTACTATAGCAACTGTAGAATCACCACAACATATTATTGACCATAGGTGTTCTGTTACCATAGCGACTATAGAATCAGCAAAACATAATAACGACTATAGTTGTTGTGTTACTATAGCAACCGTAGAATCGCCACAACATATTAATGACTATAGTTGTTGTGTTACTATAGCAACTGTAGAATCACCACAACATATTAATGACTATAGTTGTTGTGTTACCATAGCAACTGTAGAATCACCACAACATAATAATCATTATAGTTGTTACCGTAGCAACTATATAATCACCACATCATATTAATGACATTAGTTACTGTTATTATAGCAACTATAGAATTAACACAACAGATTAATTCAAGTTATTTATAGTTTGATACACAAAGGTTGTTGCTAGAAGGGATACGGCTGTGGCTAGAAGACAACGGGTGTTATTAAATTACCCTTTAATTAACACCTACCCCAAACCCTACCGTTATGGCAATGTAAAAACATTATTTATTGTTGTGCAGTGTCACAAAAAGTATCCTATATTAATGTTTTCATTAAACATGTACACATAAACATCCCCTATGTGCTAAATATTGCAGGTTAACCATGTCTGTCTATAATAATTTACACTTGATTGTATTGCAGTAATGTGCACCTCTCGTAAAGCTGCTTTGAAACAATAATTATTGTAAAAAGCGCTACACAAATGAACTTGAATTGAATGTATCCACAGCTGTATCCCATCTAGACTTTGCCATTCACAAACACCCCAGTATTGACTATAAACGATTGTAGTGTTTCCGCTATAGATGCTGACAGAGGCTGATCATTTTACTTTCAGTCATATCATGTTATTTTCTCATACTGAGGGAGTCTGGAGGAGCAGGTTTGATGTGCTGTGGGAATATTTCTGGTCAAGGACGTGATAATGATGATGAGCATATGAAGATCTGCATTATCTTTGAGACAGCTCTTAACACACTAATGCAAACAACAGCACCTGCCATAGTGAAGGTGAACCCTACGACAAATCTGCATGAGCCCCGAGCAGCACTGCTCCAAGAACTTGTTTTATCTCTAATGATGATTACTATAGATTACACTTGGCACAAAATAAACATAAAAGTTACTCTGGAGTGTTTTTTTTTTAATAAATCAATAAAAAAGTATGTTTGTGTGTGTGTATTTACGATATCTGTGTGTCCATTCATTTTTGTGAGTGTATTTATCTGTCTCTCTGTCTGTGTGTGTATTTATCTGTGTGTGTGCTGCAGGTCTGCTTTAATGGCCTGATAAAGTCTGATGAGTGTGTTCCTCCAGATCTCTCTCTGTGCTGTACTTTGCTTCTGCTGGATCTGCTGCGCAGTGAACACCAGTGTCAGGACAGTTCGCTCGAAGTCCTCCAGACGCAGAGTCCCGCGCTGCTGCTCCAGACCCGCACTGACCCGCAAGATCTCAGAGAGGCTTCTGGGAAGAACATCCTCACACAGGACCTCCAGAACCTGCAGCCGCCGCAGGGAAGACAGCTCTGCATCCGGCACATGCAGCGTCCCATGCATCGCGTCCATGAAGCCGCCAGACAACAACACCTGAAATACACACATGATAATGTAATGACATGTAACGTAATATAATATAATAAAATAAAATAAAATTTAATGAAATTAAATATAATTAAATGTAATTTAATAAAAGAAAAGAAAATATTATAAAAAATAAAATATAATAAAAAATAAAATATAATAAAATAAATGTTAATAAAATTTAATACAATATAATAAAATATAATAAAATAATTATAATAACATAAAATATGATAAACTAAAATATAATAAAACATAATAAAATAAAATATAATATAATAAAATATAATTAACTAAAATAAACTAAAATATAACAAAATATAATAAAATATAATAAAATTTAATAAAATATAATATAATAAAATACAATAAAATATAATAAAATATTATATAATAAAAAACAATAAAATATAATAAAGTAAAACACAAAATATAATATAATAAAATATAATGAATTATAATTAATTTAAATATAATATAATAAAATATTATATGATACAAAATATAATAAAATATAATATAATATAAAAAAGTTATGATAATATAATAAATTGAAATATAATAAAATAAAATATGATATAATAATATATAACTTAATAAAATAAAATGTAATAAAATATATTATAATATAACAACATATAATGACATAATAAAATGTAATGAAATATAAATTAGTGAACCTCATAGAGAAGGCCGGCTTCTTCCACAGTTTTCTGAAAGGACGGGTTGATGAACGCAGGTGTCCCTCGCTTCACTCTAAAGGCTGATGGGTAAAGAGCTGATACACACACGCACGCACCCGTGCACACACACAAACACACAGTTACACAAAGAAAGACAGACAGACAGACAGACAGACAGACAGACACAGACGCAGACGCACGCACGCACGCACGCACGCACGCACGCACGCACGCACGCACGCACGCACGCACGCACGCACGCACGCACACACACACACACACACACACACACACACACACACACACACACACAAAGCTGTCTGAAGGAGATTGTGGTTAAAGATTACCACAGTTTTTTCCAGCACAGATGACTTGTTCACCTTAAGACTAACAATGTGTGCTCACTAAATAAACTCTGTACATTTTGATTTCATGATGAAATGCTTTAAAGCTGAAGATTTCAGAAATGCTTTGACTTTTTAGGAGAGGTCATGTTATTTTTATCGGTTTGCAGCAGGTCACGTGTCGCCAGCATCACACACACATTCCACATCTGTGTGTGCCGATGAGCTGCAGATGTGTGTCGGACACAGCAGTGATTCTGCACAGTCTCACCTTCACAAACATGAACCTGCTGCTCCAAAACTGACCATTAAACCTCTGCTTAACCCCTTACACTACACACTACAGACAAATCACACACACAACACACACTCACTTCTCAACTTAGGAGAACATCAGTGGATCTCCCACGTCATTAGCTCTGTTTTTTACTTTTGTTTTCATTAATTTTTTTATTTTAGTGATTTTAACACAAAAAAGGAAGAAACAATAATAAAAAAAGAAAGAAAGAACAGAGCAAACAGGTCATTTCTCCATCACAGGCTTTTTATGACAACTTTTTTGTTAGGGATTACGATAAACAGGGGGAAATGAACTGATCTGATTACAGGACTGATGAGGCGCAAACTCTCTGGCCAAACTCCTGCAGGTGAATCTCCTACTGCTAATACCGCGGTAATTGAACATCTCTGTTAGATCCTCACAGCTCGATACGGCTCATAAATTCACAGCTAACCCTCCAGCGCTGCTCCGAACGCTTGACTTTCAGGCCAAACACAAACTGCAGACACCCGGCTCGTGTCCTTTACTGAATTTGTGTGTGTGTGTGTGTGTGTGGAGGAATGTAATGAAATGTCAGAGCAGATATACAGAGACACGGCGAGCGTCTGCTGTTATCGGCTCAGTCATCAGGAGTGTGTGTGTGTGTGTGTGTGTGTTTCCACTGATCAGCGTAGTGGCGCAAGGTCAGTGATCTCACATGATCAGCAAACACACACTGAGCATCCATCATCCGTGTTATTCCTCCCAGGTCACGACACACACCTCAGCACAACACTGAACACTTTTAATGTGTTTTGCCCATTTCATTTTACACCACAACAGCGTTTCTGAAGCCTAAAAACACAGTTTTGAAAAGTGTACTTTTGTTTTGGAAGTGATGGCATTCTGGTCTCCGTGTAAACTACACCAGCATCATTTAGTGAAGTCATTTTTATTTCCAAGTCATTTGTTTTTCATGTTTTAGTTGAAAATCTTGTAAACGATTTTTGTAACTAAAATCAACGCTAACAAAAATACGTTCTAAGAATGTTGTGCTAACGTTAGAAAAACGTTGTTTGTGTGCATTCTCTGAGCATTCCAAATGTCCAGCTGCTACAAAAAACATTCCATTTTAAAATTCCGCAAACGTCATGGCAACATTACTTTGGAATACTTACAGAACATTCAAGAACATCAAAAAATAAAACACACACACACACGCACGCCGCACACACACATCTAGAACATTGTAAATGAATCATTGTAAATATACTGATTATCATTATGTTATTACTGTTTTATCCCAAAAGTTTGATTTGTATTTTTACCTAATTACATACAGTTGAAACCAGAAGTTTCCATATACTGTATAAAAAGGCACATATACTGTAAAAAAGAGTCAGATGTTAATTTGACTAAACTTTTTCTCTTTTAGGTAAGTTAGGATTATCACAGTAGTTTCTGTTCTGCTTAATAGCAGAATAATGAGAGAGATATTGTTTGAGAAATTGTTATAACTTTTCTTGAAAGTCAAGTTTACTTGCAATAAGATTATTCTGCCTCTGAAAAAGCTCAGATGATGATGTCAACGAAGTTTCTGATTGGCTAATTGACAACAATAATGACCAGTGTTACATTTGGAGGTCAAAGGGGAAAGCTTACAAGCCTAGGAAACCATCCCAACTGTGAAGTATGGGGGCGACAGCGTCATGTTGTGTGGCTGTTTTGCTGCAGGAGGGACTGGTCCACTACACAGCATAGATGACATTATGAAGAAAGAACATTATGGAGAAATACTGAAGCAACATCTCAAGACATAAGCCAGGAAATTAACACTTGGCCACAAATGGGTCTTCCAAACAGACCATGACCCTCAGCACACTGCCAAATCAGTTCAAATGTGCTTTAAGGACAACAGAGTGAATGTTTTGGAGTGGCCATCACAAAGCCCTGATCTCAATCCTATAGAGAATATTTGGGGAGAGTTGAAAAAGCTTGTGCGAGCAAGACAGCCTACAAATCTGACTCAGTTACACCAATTCTGTCAGGAGGAATGGGCCAAAATCCCTTCAAACTATTGTGAGAAGCTTGTGGAAGGAGACCCAAAACATTTGACCAAAGTTTTACAGTTTAAAAGCAAAGCTAAATAAATACCAAGGAAATGTGTGTAAACTTTTGACTGTTAAGAAATTAGAAATTCTCAAAAACAATTCTCTCATTATTCTGGCATTTAGCAAATGTAAATCACTTAGGTAATCCTAACAGTCCTAAAATAATAAACGTTTAGTATGATTTACCATTAGAGGATGGTTCAGGATTGGTAGAGCTACGCATCGATGAATTTGCTCTTCAGTGTTTGAACTCTCAGTAATGATTAAATCACACTGAACTGAGCTAAACTGAACTGAACTGAACTTAAACACTAAAACCTGAACCACACTGTTCCAGTTACTATGACCATTTATGTGAAGCTGCTTTGACACAATCTACATTGTAAAAGCGCTATACAAATAAAGCTGAATTGAATTGAATTGAAGACATTTAAAATAAAAATTAAATGGTTATGTTCCTTTTTTTAAGAGTGTATGTAAACTTCAGCTTTCAACTGTATATATATATATATATATATATATATATACACATATATATATATATATATATATATATATATATATATTAATGTTAACTTTCAAAATGCTTTTGCAATACATATTTAACATTTGTCAAACCAATAAAGCAATTATTGAATTGAATTTTATGTTGAGATAAAAATAAAACGTGTGTAACATCTGATCATAAGGAAAGACCAGCTACTTTGAGCAAACACTCTGTAGAAGTAATTAAAAGAGCACTGGCAGAAGCTGCTGAGGACATTCACTATTGGCTAGAATACAGTTGTGGTTTTGTTTAGATTTCCTTTATTCTTTTATTCTTTTCCTTTTTATTTTGGAGCTCTCTGTTTGACTTGATTTAATAATGGTGTCTTATAAACTGTGCAGTGGTGTGTTGTTGTAGTGTGATATTGTACCTCTTCTCCAGCGCAGAGATGCAGTGATGGACATCTGACACACGAGCCAACACACACACACAATCCAGACGACAGACATGCTGATCCTCCCGTCTCGTCCCGTCCGGCAGACTGTCCCACACACTCTACAGTAAACAAAACAGCAGATCAGACAGACACAGAGAGAGAGAGAGTGAGAGAGTAAACAGAGTAGGAGTGAATAAAAGAGAAAAATAGTAAGAGAGAGAGAGGGGGAGAGAGTAGTTAAAGAGAGAAACATAGTAAAAAGAGAGAGAGACGCCCCCCATCAGTTTTCTATTATCTCTCGTCCATCATCATAATACCTATTTCTCCTCCCTCTTTTACATCTGGAACATGTGTGTGTGTGTGTTTCATCTGGAAGTCATCAAAACTCAAAGACAATCTGTCTGTCCGTCTGCTGCTTTCTGTCCTTCTAACAGACTCTAAATTCAGCAGCAGCAGCTTCTGCAGGCATCAACACACAATATGTACTGTATGTGTGTGTGTGTGTGTGTGTGTTAGTGAAGTGAGTCTAGATGACGTGTGTTATTGTTCTGATATTTAAGTGGAGCGTCCGCATGAAAACAGTCTGAATTCCTGAGTCCAGAGCAGAGACTGTGTTGTGTTTTGATTGGCGACAGACGGCAGGAGAAGCAGACGTTCTGATGAAACAAGAGTCCAGCGCAAAGAGCTCAACGCTGGAGAGAGATTCACACACATCTAGATGAACAAGTGTCCAGTCTGATGCTCAAAAACACAAGCAATATCCAACTAATACTGGGAAAGTTCTGCCAAAGTTCTCTCAAAGCTATTAATAAACATTCTGGAAGCACTGAGAGAATGTTTGTGTAATGTTGTGTGGTATTTAAGTGTAAAACAGTAGAAATATTAGTTCAGTACATTCAGAAGTTAATCTGAATGTTAAGTAGTTCTTTGCACCTGTGTGAACGCAAGGAGAACTAAATAACACAATGTGTTCTATGAACGTTGCCAAAAGGTTGTAAAACATTATTTCTGAATGTTATCTGAATATACACATGTATAGATTCGTGATTTGTACCGATCACCACCTACGGTTTGCAATACACATCACCTGCGGATTAATGATAATTGTTTTTTTTTACTTGTAGATTAATCCTAACTTTGTAAGGATCGCAGAGAGATCGATCGCCTCATGCATCATTCAGATTACATGTATGAAAGCATTTAGGCTTTCCTGTAAAGTATAATGATGACATAAGGAGTTGTGGTGGGTTATTGGGGATGTGGTGGGTTTCTGAGGTCATTAAAAGTGTTTTCTGTCACTACTTGTTTAAACTGCATTAATGCATTCAGTGTAAGTTGCACAATTAATTACTGAAAGATCGGGATCTCACCACCACGCAAAATAAATGATAAATAATGGTGATTTGCATATCCTCAATTTAGAATTCTAAGGTTCTATCTGACATTTTGTCAAAATTGAATTATTGACATATTCTTATCAAATGACAACTTATTTACATAATGGGATGTTTTTTTTATAAGTTGTTTACATTTTAAGACTTTATTTAAAAAACACATGTTATGCACATACTGTTTGCTATGGAATGCAAAAACTTTGAAGCTCAAAATCATTCAGAATGCAGAGAGAACATTATAATTCTAAGGTGACGATATTTTGTTTATTAATCCTTCCAATCACTGCATACAAATCTGTGTTTGAGAAACGCACAGATCAAGAAAAAGATTCAGTCTTTAGTCTTTTGAGTTAGTGATAAAGTTACAAACAGTCAAATAACACAGAAGTTCTGGGAGAACAGTTTATAGTTTAGATAAAACCACTGGTGTTTATGGTCAAGATTAAAATCATGTGCAAACATGAAAGTTGTAGGCAGCAAATACATTATTTAACCAGTAGGCGGCGACGATCAGCCATCAAAAATACGCTACTGAATAATTCATCAGAAATGATCATCTAGCAACGAAACATGAAGTTTTATGAGTTAATGATTTTCTTAATTTTATTTTTGTTTAATAAAATTAGATGTTCTAAGTTCTGTTTGTTAAAACCAAAAGTGTCTTGCGGTGCTGTTTTTGTAATAAATGGAAAGTAAATGACATTTGTCTTCTCCCTTTTTGGCTGATCCGAAAAATGGTCCGATCCCTGACTAAAAAAACTATATTGTGATCCAAACCATGAGATTTGTGATCCGTTACACCACTAGTACACACACACACACACACATATATATATGTGTGTGTGTGTCCCCGTGTGTGTGTCCCACTCAAACATACAAAAGTCTAATGTCTTGCATGTTTGATGTTGTGCCTTTTGGTTCTTCCTGGGATTATTATTTATAAAAAAAAAAATGGTGAGTAAAAAATGATTCTCAACTTTTAGCTAAATTTGACAAAACTTTCCTGCTAGATCTGAAAATCACACATAACAAAACACACACACACATACTGTCGTCATTCATCTCCTGTGCACTGTGTCACGGTAGAATACTATGGCGAGGGAGGAGTCCGCGAGTAAATACAACTTGTCAGTGAACAGCGCATTAGGAGTCAATCGCAGCCCTTTCTGTTGAGCGCGTGACCAATCATAGACGTTTAACAACTCGTTCGACAACACTCAAAAAGCAAGCAGGATAATTATTTACGCTTGTTTATTTGCTTTAAATGCTCATGTTGTTCTGTGCATGTGTGTTTGATGCAGTGTTATCTTTCAGCAGGTAATATTAAAGTACAGTTCATATATCTTGACTGCTTGTATTAAATGACAGAATTGTATTTCAAAAAATATAAAATGTATTTAAAATTGATCCATTTTAATGCAAGAATTGTTGTGCTGTGAAGTAAAATACGAAATTGTGCATGGAAAGCATCGTCAATGCAACGTGATGCACCGAGATTGAACCCAATCGATGGCAAGATAATCGTAACCGAACCGTGAGACCATTGTAGATTCACACCTCTAACACATACACAAATAAACACACACACACACACTACACATAAACACTTACATATAGACACTCTTACTTGCGCATACACACGCGCGCACAAGTTAAACACATAAGCACACACACAGTCATATCTCTCCTTAAGACACACTATCACAGACACACACACACTCTACATGGAGTGTTGCTGCTGAGTGAGAGTGTGTGTGTGTGTGCATGCAGCAGGTGAATGAGTCGGGAGCAGCTGGTGTGTTTTACCTGAGCACTGGCCCCCATCAGCAGCTTATTAAAACACACCACACACACCGCTGTGTGTCCAGCAGATGCTGCGAGTGTCCTGCGGCACACAGATGGCTGAGCTCTGACAGAGAACACACACACACGCCTGCCGAGGAGCACTGATCCCAGAACACACACGGCAGGAAAATATTAGTGTTTCTGAGAAGGAACGAAAACCCCTCAGGATGAAACAGAAACTGATGGTGAAATGCATCATGGGATGTTTCCTTCCATCTCTTCAAAACAATGTTATTGTCGTTCAATTAATCAATGATCAAATTCAATTCGACAGCTCTGAAGATAAACTTGTGCCGATATTCAGCGGAATTTACTTTGATGACCATGCAGTTCAGTTCAAAAGCACAATGTTGAATCTATTAAAGGGTCACGAAACACCAAAACACATGTTTTGAGCTGTTGACAGTCGTATATGTGTCCCACACTGCTAAAAACACTATTAGGACACCTATATTTCACTAAAAAGTGTAAAATGGTTGTTTTTGCGTTATTTCAAGCAAATTCGTACTTCCGGTTTAAAACAAATTTTTGAAGCTGCGTCACGGTCATGACATAATAGCGTGTATTCCAGCGTGCAGACTGGACGTCTGTGCCAGAGTGAGTCTTATTACGTCTTACAGTGTGATGCATTAATGCATGAGTAAAGCTTGGTTCAAACCAATCAGCGCGCTCTATTGTGCAACTTCATTAATATTCATTAGTGTCACCGTGTTTACGCCACAGATACGCCACGTTGTGTTGGCAAAACAAGCGTGAAGTGTTGCTTTTATAGTTTGCTGCAGTGAAGTTTTGTTTTCATTTTCTCTCTGTGAGAGCTCAGCTGGAGTCACGTGTGGATTAACAGTGTACGCAACGCTCGACAACAATAACTTACGTGTCTAAGGAGGATTATTGTTTACCTGAGAGCTGTTCTCATCTGCAAACGCTGAGATCCGGATTCGCTTGTAGTCTCCTCTTAATAAAGACGCGGCTCTAGTTGCTGGTGATTGTCCTGTCTCTACAGATTTGGTAAGTGAGTGACCAGTGCTCTTTGTTTATTCAGTTTGTTTGTATCGAATTAAGTTAACTATTGCACTGAGTGCAAACATGTTAGCACCGCATTTTGTGACCGGAATAACACACGCGGCTTTCTGACACTACCTGCCGTGTGCATCTAAGTTTCCAGGAAATGCTGAGTTTTTTTTTTTTCTCTCATTCGCCGTGCGGTATCAAACACTGCATGAAAAATACACGCTTAGAGCAGCTCCTCGAATCAAATATCTCGTTTGTCGCGAGCGGCATGAATGAATTCCCTGAATGAAAGAGCCAAACTGCAGTTAAAGTCCAACATTTAATAATTTGGCAAATAATTCGACTACAGATGTCCATGTAGGTTAAACACCATCTCTTTCTCCTGTGTGTGTATTTTGACTGAAACTCGCGCGTGCCCAAATAGACACTCCCACACCATCCCACTTTAGTTCCTCCGACATTCCCCCTAAACAGAGCTGGACACGCCCACTTTTCTGACTTTTTCCAAAGTAGAGGTGTGAAAACACCCTGCTGAAACGAGGGGGTTTCATGGCCCTTTAATGTTGAATATCATTGCTGTATATGGTCTCACTTTATTTTGATGGTCCGTTTGTTGAATTTAAGTTACATTGCAACTAATTCTCAATATATTACAAGTCTAAACCCCTAGTTTGGGGTTTAGGGTTGGGGTTAGTGTAAGTTGGCATGCACTTGCAAAGTTTCCTATAGTCAGTTAAATGTCTGTTGAAGGAGCAGTATCAGCAGATACTAAGCAGACTGATACTTAAATGCACCATCAAAATAAAGTGTTGCCTGATTACCATGAAAAGTGTGTAAACTTGAACTGAATTAACCCATTTTTATTCAAATCCTTTTTAATAATTTCAGAAAAATTCATCAGTTGGGAAAGAAATCATATTTCAGAAAATAAGGAATTTAGCTAAATTTAATTAATTAATACTAATAATAACAATTTATTTATTATTTTCCTTCGGATTAGTCCCTTAGCATAATGAACCAACAACTATTCCAGCATGTGTTTTACACAGCGGATGCCGTTCCAGCCACAACCCAGTACAGGTTTTAGTTCAATGTAGTTCATCAATTCCCCTATAGCGCATGTGTTTTGAAAACCGGAGCACCCAGAGGAAACCCACGCCAACACGGGAAGAACATGCAAACTCCACACAAAAATGCCTACTGACTCAGACCAGTGACCTTCTTGCTGTGAGGCACAGTGCTAACCACTGAGCCACCCTAATAATAATAATAATAATAATAATACATCTTATTTATGATGCACCTTTCTTAAACTTAAAGCTAATTATATGTCAGTAAAGTTCAATTAAGCAAGATTTAATTATGAAACATTTAGTTCAGATTAAAGAAGCTCGCGGCAATCAGAGTTTGATTCCCGCCTCGCAGTCCTATGTTGATCCTTCCACTCTATACACTCCTTATACTCTATACTGTCCTGTCCATTTAAGGTAAAAACCCCGAAAAAATTAAATTAAAAAGTGGAGAATATCATTTTTGTTTTTTTACAAACTTAAAAAAGTGGCATAATTAAATATAATTAATTGATTTAGAATTTTGTTATATAAATGTAATAGATGAAAAAAAAAAATCAAGATAATGAGGTAATGTAGTTATCCAGGCACAAATGTAACTGACACATAAATCAGAATAATAATGATAATAATGTTAATAATAAATAATTATACTTTTAATTGAGATAAATCTGGGATTTAGTTTGTGCATGTGAATGTAAAAGTGGAGAAATCCTAAATCCTATTGAGTTTTAAGGCAATGAACTTTTCATTTCTTTTTCAACTTACAAACTTAAAAACAGAGTAATAAGTAGTAGCCATTTAAAGTTTCTTAAATTTGACCAAGATATTTTTTTTATTAAATAGTTTCATCACATGAAAAAAATACTATAGTAATTCATAGTAAATACTATGGATGTTTTTGAACCATACAACAGTAAAATGTATTATACTAAGTGTATTTGTTCTCTATTTCCACCTAGGGATACTCACCTCGAGGCCTCTAGAGATTATGCAGCGCCATTGATGTGATCCAAGTCCTGTAAAAACCGATGATGCCAACCATAGAGGACTTCTAGAGGTCTCCGTAATCCTGGACCAGGCCGTATCCTGAGCAGATGCTGTGGTGGTCATGGAGGAGTGGAGAGCATGAGACTGATTCATGAAAGATCCCAGTGACAGACGAGTCTCCGCATTGATGCTGCAGGCTCACTTGAACACCCACCGGTGACCTACTCACACCTGCAGCTTCTCCACGATGGACATTCAGTGTTCTGCAGCCTTGCAGCTCTACACAAGAAGTTTGACCTGAGGAGAAATAGTCATGCCCAACGGAGCCTGGTTTCTCTCAAGGTTTTTTCACTTTGGTCAATTGGTGAAGTTTGCTCCTCCACTGTCGCCACTGGCTTGCTTGGTTTGGGACTTGTGGGGCTGTGCATGAATTGATTTGCTCTTCAGTGTTTGGACTTATTAAACCAGACGGAACTGGACTAAACTGAACTCTGAAAACTGGACGGACACAGTTTACTGTTACTAGAACTTCTGCGTTCAGCTGCTTTGACATGATCTACATAGTAAAAGCGCTAGAGAAATACAGATGAATTGAATTGAACTGAACAGTTAGTTAATGAATGCTCCAGCATGCTGTAGTATTGTCAATGGTGAACAGATCAAGTGTAAATTGCTCATGCGTGTGTGCTGATGGCCTGTTGGTGGCGCTGTGGGAGTGTGTGTGTACATGTGTGTGTGTCCAGCGCAGGACTCTCGTCTTCAGCAATACTTAAAGGTGTTGTTGTGGGCTCGGGATCCAGGTGGGCGCCCTTGTGAGCCCCTTGAGGTAATTGCTGCTGTAAACCTCAGATATGTAAATGCCCTGCGATTGTTGGCTTTGTGTCTCTGAATAGCTATAATTGCTGCACCGTGATGTCGCGTATAAAAGCACCGGTTTATCTGCTTTTAAAGCGAATGAAAGAGTGCGATGGAGAACAACATCTAAGACACCAGCCCTGCATACGCTAAAGCACACTCCACTGACCTGAGATCTGACCCACAGACACACTTTCACAATCGCAGAGAGCACAACAACACGCACGGAAGAATTTCAGCTAGACTCAAGTGTAGCTTTAAACATATGAATCTAAAATAAATCCTAAAAATGTAGAGGAATTACCAACCTACATCACACAGGACGTTACATGGGTTCAACCGTGCATAACGGTTGCAAATAGAGACCCGTTGCAATAGCAAACATGTGGTGTTGCGCAATAGGATGTCAATAATTGAAAAATTAACTTTTACCGTACACCACACGGCTTTTAATGCCATCCGCAGACTTCTTTGGCTAACAGTCATCATAAGAGCTGAATGGAGTGAGGAGCTAATTAATAATGCTGGACACTTCAGTTATCTTCTTATGTCAGGTAAGTTCACGCTATGCTGAATCAGACACAGGCCCGTGCAGAGACCTTCAAAGGGGCATGTGCAGGATAACATTTTGGGTGTTGGGTGTCGCTAGGGCCCTTCAGATCACTTTGGAAGGGCACTTTCTATTCAAGACTAAAAAGGGCATGTGCACTGCACAGGTTGAGCCCCATGTGTGCACGTGCCTGAAGACACATCACTAGTTTTTGATTGCAGCGATGATTTCAGCAAACACAGTCAAATATGGTGAATTAAACTGCAGACACTGAATGCTAAGAATGTAATGTTTACATACCGTGCCGTACAGCTGCAGTTCACTGTCAGAATGCAGTTGTTCTGCTTGTTGATGATGATGACCCAGGCCTTGTACAGCTCTGTCTTCTTTTCTTGTCTTTAGCTAGGCAATACCTCTGTTTTTAGCACTACATGGTGTTGAATCTGGTCATCATGGAGCATTATTTCCTGCACATGACCACACAGAACAACATTGTTGGCATCCAAACATTGTAGGCCTTTAACTTCTCTCTTGTAAAATCACTTGGAGTTTCAGTTGTATATTTGGGGCTGGATGCTCCGCCATTTCCTCTCATCTAATGTCTATTTGGAGGGTGCTATCGCAAATGCACCTGTCAGATAAACGCCGCTCACTTTAACGTTAATTTTGGGTGATGAGCTGTTATAATACACTGAAATATATATAATAGGTAATCAATATAACTTATTTCTAAGACAACAAAAAACTCAGCATCAGATGTCATTCTCTCGCTGTATATGCTAGCGCTCCTGGTTGTTGCTGCGCGCACAGCCTGAATATTTACAAACCGGTAATTCGTTGTAATAAAGTTCACGGCCCTTTGGCCGCCGGGAAGAAGGAGGCGGAGAACCGGAGCAGTTTTTAAATGATTTATTAATAACAGTAAGGGCAGCTCCTCACGGAGACTGCCGTCAAACTGAAAGCAATGAACTGGGATTTTAAATATATAAATATATATTAGTGGTGGGCAGTTATTGGCGTTAACGCAAGACTCTTATTGCACGAATAAAAATATATCGCTGTTAATCTGTTCTCAAAGATGGGTGGGGAGCTGGGTCTGTTCTACGCAAGCTATGATGACTTTCACCTTGATATTTTAGCACGGATGTATACCAGACCAGTGAGCCGTCTGATAAAAGAGTGCCCTTCTGAGTCAAATCAGCAGGATGCCTGACATTAACTGCAGTTCGGCAGTTTCACTTTCATTCATGCCCCTGTGACAAACTGGGGTATTAGACGTAAATAAGGAGTAAGGACTGGTGAGAGTGTTATTGAATTTATTAACGCACGCCAAAGGGAAAGAAAATAACTTACGCATTTCGCAATGTGTGTGTGTGTGTGCGCGGTCCTTTGCTGACAGCCGAGTGTGTGGATCTTGTCAGAAAATATGGCAAAAAGTCGTACATGACGGTAATAGTTTGATTGCAGTGTTTACTTTAATAATGCCACTAATATCTGCAGACTCCACATGTCTTAATTCCACTCCTGTTTAGTTCAGTTATGACTTAAGTGCGATTAAAGTTTCGAGCTTATGTAAGCTACAGTTCAACATTGATGTTTAATTTAGTAAACACAAGCACATCTTACTGAACATCATTTATTTCCATCACCAATTATCATAGTAGAACAGTTCCTCAAGCAGTTTGTGATGCATTTTGGAAACAGGAGATGCGCCCCTGGTCTAATGCGCCACCTGGCTTGAGAAAACCCGTTCTTAAAGACTTATTATTTGGGTAGCACACATATTCTGAATGCAAATGAGCCATTTTAATCTAGATTAATTGTAATGCCTACCTATAATACACACACACGCACGCACGCACGCACGCACACGCGCACACACACAGACCTAAATGAGACGTTTGGCACAGACACTCACCCGCAGGAGGACAGACAGACACTGGGTCACTCGTGGTGATGATGATGATGATGATGGTCTGCGGTTTTTCCCACAGTCTCAGTTTACTGATCCTGAATCACAGCACTAAAACACTGACACAAAAGCAACAGCACAAACTTTCAAACCACTCGAGTGTGTGGAAATGCAGAGGAGATTTCCATTTCTGGGTGAACTGTCCCTTTAATAAGATCCAAGATCTTACACTCAACGTAAGAGTGTTCACAAAGCAACTGATGTTCACTGCTTGCTATGAAAAGGAGAAGGTTTGAGTTGGTTTGAAAAAAAAAGAAGAAAGAAAATTTAGTATTTAAGGACAAAACTGCAACAGCGATGTGTGTGTGCAAATACAGCAAATGCAGGTTTGATCGACAGCACATTTGCATTAGGAGAATTATGGAGAAACAGACGCGTCTTGCTTGTATGAGCGAGATAATCACGCTAATGGAGAAATGTTTTAGAAAGCCAGCCGTTTCCACACTCAAATAAGTGCATCGAGTGTGATTTCACAGAGAGAGAGAGAGACAGAAAGAGAGACAGAGTACGGGAGAGTGTGAGTGTGTGTACTGTATAGACCATTTTGAGGAAAGTAAACAAAAACAAATGTCTCCAGCGTGTTTTCTATTTTACATTTTTCCTTTCTCAAGTTTCCGAGAATCCAAAAAGAGCCACATATTGATAAATTTAATTATTAACTAAATATTGGAAAAGTTTTAGTGTTAGATTATGAATAAATTGCCTCTTGTTACAGTTGTAAAATAGTTTGAAAACAAGCAGGAAATGGTCATGGGCCACTGGCAACACCACATTGAAATGGCCTATGCTATAATGATGATTATAATTGAATCATTGCAAATACCCTGATTATTATTGTTTTATTACTGTGTTATCCTTTATTCTGATCTATTCTGATTATTTTTTAATTGATAAATGAATATTGAAGAATTATAAGATTTATTGAATATATATATATATATATATATATATATTCACAGTTCAAGTCAGAATTATTAGCCACCTTTGAATTGTTTTCTTTTTTATATATTTCCCTCATGATGTTGAACAGATTCAGGAAATGTTCACAGTATGTCTGATAATATTCTTTCTTCTGGAGAAAGTCTTAGTTGTTTTTTTTCGGCTAGAATAAAACCAGTTTTACATTTTTAAACACCATTTTAAGGTCATTATTATTAGCCCCTTTAAGCTATTTTTTTTCGATAGACTCCGGAACAAACAATCGCTATACAATAACTTGCCTAATTACCCTAACCTGCCAAGTTAACCTAATTAACCTAGTTAAGTCTTTAAATGTCACTTTATTCTGTATAGAAGTGTCTTAAAAATATCTAGTAAAATATTATTTACTGTCCTCATGGCAAAGCGAAAATAAATCAGTCATTAGAGATGAGTTATTAAAACTATTATGTTTAGAAAAGTGTTGAAGAAATCTGCTCTCCATTAAACAGAAATTGGGCAAATAATAAAAAGGGGGGCGAATAATTCTGTCTTCAACTGTATTATATATCTATATTTACTAATACTACGCTATACTTTTTAATGTAAACTTTATAAATGCTTTGGCAATACATTAGTAACATTTGTCATGCCAATAAAGCAATTATTAAATTGAACAGAGGGGGACAAAAAAATCTACCAATCCATCAATCAGAGACACGTACTTCACACAGACAGTATTAATTCTGTCTGAATTTCAGCAAGCCACACATATACAGTATGTAACCTTGTGTATTTATTAATTTTTATTAAATATTATACATAATTAACTTCTTTCTGAAAATACATGGAGTGCTCAGCATAACTGAGTACAACACATTTTGAAAGTGAATATGTTTTATCAATTTCTCAGTGAATATAGACAGTATATTGCTGGTGCCTTTAAGCAAAACAGTTTGATTAAACAGTATATACTTATATATTAATATAAGAACTGGTCACCAAACATCTTTAATGAATCATTTTTCCTTCTCATTAAATTTGCATTTAATAATTTTCACAACATATTACTACAGGGGTCTTATTTTTGGACTGTGATCTTCAGGTAATAAATAGATTAGTTCTAGTTTTGTCTTTGGTACTGACTAATCTAATGTATAAGCACACAAATATTACTGTAAAGCATCCAGGAGAAAATATGAATTTAAAACAAAGATCTGTGTGTGTGAGAGAAAGTGGATCTGTGTGAGTGCAAGTCTGTGTGTGTGTGTGTGTGTCTGCGGGGGCCGTGAGTGTCTGACAGCTTAATTGCAGGTGCGCGCGCTCAAAAGCAATTAAAGGCAGAAACACAGACAGACGGAAGCGCGCTCGTGTTTAAGACTCAGTTCAGGCTCTGCTGATGAAACATCATCAAATTCACTGAAACGTTCACGCAAACACACACTGAATGCTGATTATTCACACTGTCTCTCGGAAAAAGGCGCGGGTGTGATTGGACGTGGGATGTGGAGTTGAGAGCTAAGACTGAGCGATATCACAAAAATATATTGTATCATAAAACATATAGGAAAATGGCTTTAAAACAATTAAAAACTGCCTTTATTCTAGCCGAAATAAAACAAATCAGACGTTCTCAAGAAGAAAAAATATTAGAGGAAATACTGTCATCAATTTCCAGCTCTGTTCAACATCATTTAGGACACATTTGACAAAGAATACAGATTTCCCAGGAGGGCGAATAACCATATATGCACAAATAAAGCATTGTAAAGCATCCTGTATGTGATAAAAATGAAAGAGAGACTGTAAGAGATGTACTCATCTATGCTGGACGCTGTATATCAGGATATCTTACAGCTGTGGCGTGTGTGCAGTGCTGCCGGCGTCTCTCAGACTCCCGCTGGTGGCGTTTAATGAAGCGCGCGGCTGTCAGACGGGGCGGCTCTGACCTGTCGAAAATAGTCACCAACATAAGAGCTGATCCACATCACCCACACAGGCAGAAAAGTCCAGAAAAACAGCAGATTAGAGCAGAATCAGGAGCACACATCACTGCTAAATCAGAGCCACAAAAATGCCTCATTATATTTGGCATCAACAAAAACATCTCCTGGGTCTTTTGGGTTTAATGACATTATTTTCATGGCAACTAATTACCATGGTATCATAATATATCTGTATGCTTGTGTTATTATTGTCAGACTCGTACATTTAAGATTATCATTGTGTGATTAAAATGATTCAGATTTTAATAAAACATTTTAAATAAATTTGATTAAAAAAAAAAATTATTCTTTTAATAATTTTTCTTTATGTAATATTTAATGTTGCATTAACACATTTTTATAAGTATAGTCAAATGTATAACATTATATATATATATATATATATATATATATATATGTGTGTGTGTGTGTGTGTGAGTGTAAAATAAAATGTGCATTTCATGCACAAGTAATTTATATTTTGGTAACATGAAATATATACACTCACTGGCCACTTTATTAGGTACACCTTACTAGTACCGGGTTTTGCCTTCAGATCTGCCTTAATCCCTAGTGGCATATATTCAGCAAGCTACTGGAAATATTCCCCCAGAGATTTTGCTCCATATTGACATGATAGCATCACACAGTTGCTGCAGATTTGTCGGCCGCACATCCATGATGCCAATCTCCCGTTCCACCACATCCCAAAGCTGCTCTATTGGATTGAGCTCTGGTGACTGTGGAGGCCATTTGAGTACAGTGAAGTCATTGTCATGTTCAAGAAACCAGTCTGAGATGATTGAGCTTTATGACATGCTGCGTTATCCTGCTGGAAGTAGCCATCAGAAGATGGAGACACTGTGCTCATAAAGGGATGGACATGGTCAGCAGCAATACTCAGGTAGGCTGTGGCGTTGATGCTCAATTGGTGCTAATGGACCCAAAGAAAATCTCCCCCACACCATTACACCACCACCACCAGCCTGAACCGCTGATACAAGGCAGGATGGATTCATGCTTTCATGTTGTTGAGGCCAAATTTTGACCCGAGCATCCGAATGTGTGAGCAGAAGTGGAGACTCATCAGAGCAGCAACGTTTCTCCAATCTTCTATTGTCCAGTTTTGGTGAGTCTGTGTGAATTGTAGCCTCAGTTTCCTGTTCTTAGCTGACAGGAGCGGCACCCGGTGTGCTCTTCTGCTGCTGTAGCCCATCCGCCTCAAGGTTGGACGTGTTGTGTGTTCAGAGATGCTCTTCTGCAGAGCTCGGTTGTAACGAGTGCTTATTTGAGTTACTGTTGCCTTTCTATCAGCTGGAACCAGTCTGGCCATTCTCCTCTGACCTCTGGCATCAAAAAGGCATTTGCACACACAGAACTGTCGCTCACTGGATATTTCCTCTTTGTTGGATCAATCTCTGTACAACCCTGGAGATGGTTGTGCGTGAAAATCCCAGTAGATCAGCAGTTTCTGAAATACTCAGAGCAGCCCATCTGGCAGCAACAACCATGCCACGTTCAAATTCACTTAAATCCCCTTTCTTCCTCATTCTGATGCTCACTTTGAACTGCAGCAGATCGTCTTGACCATTCTACATGCCTAAATGCATTGAGTTGCTGCCATCTGATTGGCTGATGATTAGACATTTGCGTTAATAAGTAGTTGAACTGGTGTACCTAATAAAGTGGCCGGTGAGTGTATATGCACCATAATAAATCTTGCTGACTCAGCATTTTTAGGTTTATCAAATTAACTTTGAGTACATCAATCAAACTGACATATATTAAGTTAAACTTTGCATAACATACTTAAAATATTATTATTAAAATAAGCTGGCATGATTTTTTGACGTATCATTTTTTGACAGTGCACACAAACATGCACACCCACACTTTATTCAATTATATTACATATTCATTATATATAAAATATACATGCATGTAAAAGTGTTGTAATTCTACAGCCTGAGGAGAATATTTAAAAAAGAATCTACATAAAAGGTCAGCTGAAACACAATGCATTATGGGACACAGTATCTCACACGGCATGCATGGAACATTAGCATGCATAATGTATGCAAATATATCAGGCCATGCATACATTAAAATGTACATTCAGCACACTCGATGCACTCTTAATACATATATAATAATAATAAGATAATAATATTTGGCTTACATTATATAAAATATAAAGGTTAATAACGAGTCTCTATATATGAGCGGGTACAGCACACTAAATCGCTGAATTCTTATGTCATTGAGTAAAGTCTTTTAAAGTTCAGGCTGTTTATCGTCTTTGCTGGAGTTACAGATCAGATTAAAGTTGATTCGACACTCGTTTATTCCAGTAACAGATGCTCTACAGCGGCGAATAAAGACGCTCTCACAGAAAAGGAATTGAATGCGCTGCGAGAGAGTGTTTATCTGATCAAACACAAGGCTTTATTAGCGGAGAGACTGAAAACAGCACAACTAATAGAAAGTCTCTGGAGCATTAAAGTCGGTTTCGTTACTAAATCAGACTGAACGCGATAAACAGCAAAGGAAACAGTCACGACTCTGGTCCTCCGTGTCTTCACACTGTATGCAGAGCAGCACATCAATATTCAATGAGCACGCTTAT